CAATGGTCACTCTGCCATTCTGTTTTCTCCTATAGCTGTAGTGATAAAATCCTTCTGTTCTAATCTGATCTAAATTGTATTCCAGTTTTTTCTGCAACAGAGCCTAGAGAAACTTGGAAACAGGAAAACGGTACCTGCTCCTCTTAGCTCACAGGGCCACCAAAGCCACCATGACTTCAAATTCTACCATCTGTGTATCTCCTTTTCTGAGCTGTTCTTCTTTCTTGCAGCCTAAAGTATTCCTTTGATTTTTGGTAAGAATGCATTACTTGATGTGATCTTTTTTACATGGTTTACAGAGTACTTGGGGCAAGGGGAGAGTTATCATTGACATTACACACTTCTTTGTATTACATACTTCTTTGTATTACATACTTCTTTTGCTTCATTTGTTTCCATTATTTTCTTTTCTTTGGGGCCATGTTGCACATATAGCAAGTTATAAATACACAATAAAATTAGAGGATGGCTTTTGGTAATGTAATGCATCAAAAAGTCTTTTTTCTTGATGGCGTGAGGCAACTTGTATTGAAAATCTCATGGAAACTAAGATTCTGGGAACATACAAATAGAAAGAGGCCTGTAATAGTAAATTTCCTGTAGCACACTGTACTCACTTATAAATGGAACAGCTTTAACCTCTGGAAAGCAATCTGCTCCCCACCCCATCCTATGTGAGCAAGGACAATGGCTATGTGATATGGTAGGTAATCTATATAGATCATATTACACTGTTGGTCTCTAGGCGGAGTTTAGAAGCCTTCTGGGACGTTCTGAGTGTCTCAAAACCTCTATGAAAACTGAATAAACAAATCACAATAACGTTTCAAAGTTCAAAGCAAGGAGCAGAGATTTTTTTATTTTGAAATAAAATTGATTCACCCATTTGCACACAAGACTGTCATATCCACCTGTTTGGAAGCTGCTAAACGTGAATTCCCCCTTAGTCTGGAGAGAATTACCTGAGGTAAGGCAGAGGAAGAGAGACTCAGCCTTTGGTGGCCTCTTCACATTTCCACAATTGTCAGTGCCTGGGTGTCCTGAGAAGCTGCAAGTGTATGTGAGCTTGATGAAGTTCTTGTGTGAGTGCCACCAGCAGCTGTCAGTCTCACAGACATTTTGCTGGCTTTGCCTTGTAGCTTTTCAGGGAGGTGTGAGTTGCCAGATAAGCCTGGAAATGTCTGCCCTGGCCACAGAGACCTGATGGGGCTTTGAAACAGGGATGGGGCCTCGGTGGCAGGTATGAAACACTGGTAAGAAGCAGAGGGGTGGAGTTGGCAGTGGCACTACAGTAACCCCAGACACGTGTTCTTGGGCCACAGTGCTCCTGGAGAGAGCACTGGGTGAGGATGGCCCATTGTGATGTTACCTGGTGCTGGATAGTGTTTTCTCCCAGGTACCTGATGTCGCCAAGGGATATACTGATGTTACCAGATGATAAATTCTCTACACCCAGTGAGCTAACACAATGCTTATTCTTCAAAATCCACTGGCCTGTGGAACTGCACAATGCCCATTGTGTAAGAAGGAGAACTGGAAGTCCACCAGCCCCAGTGTTCTGCCAGTTTCACTTGGTGTCTGTCAGCACTGGGGTCACCCACCAGGAAGGATCACCAAAAAGGCCCCTAGGACAGAAGAAAGCATGCATAACAGGGAAGGAAAGTGTACTCATGATTTTGGGGAAATTATTATCATATTTATGTTTATTTTGGAAAAATCAAAATGAATATGTATGTAAAATATGGTATATAAACATAGACTTTCCCTAACTCAGCATGCACAGTGTTTGGAGGAGATATCCCCTTGCATATCCAGCCAAGTAAAGAATTCCTGCTTCTTAATGAATACTGGTGTTAAGGAAGTGGGTTTTTATGCTGAATTTTTTGCAACACTGAGTTCCTGAGTGACAGACTGTGATGTCGGCTACTGACTTTCCCCAAGTGATGGATTGTGGCCTTACTGCTTTATCTGGTTACCGAGTCTCACCCAGTCAATTCTTGAGGGTTGGAGCGTTGAGTGAGGCCTGGGTGCAGTGTTGTTTGAGGGGAGATTTTTATTGAGTGAGTTGAGTGAGGCCTTGGTGCCAGTGTTGTTTGAGGGGAGATTTTTATTGCTGGTCTTAGCGTCCAGCTCCAGGTCCATCAGAGGAACTCCCTCAGCCTTGACAGGTTCAGGCAGCTGAGGCACCCAGGAGTGCCAGGTATGATTTCATTGTTCCCTCAAAGGGAAATGCTCCCCAGCTTCAGACCTGCATCTCTGCAACTGATCCCAGGCAGATGTTCCCAGACGGAAGTCTTCAGGGCCAGGCTGTGTTCCAGAGCCCATCACTCCATGCCTTATCCTCACCACACCCTCTGCCATCCTGGGATTTTGCTTTTTTATCAGCCTGCATTGCTTGGTGCAAACTTGCTATAGCTGATGCCTTGTGAAGGCTGACCTAGAGCAGAGATTAGACAGAGTTAAAGAATAAAGTAGGTATTTATTAAGAGGACAGATCCACCGTGTGCAGCACAACCCAACAGATCCGTGCGGCACAACCAAAAATGGCCACAAAATGGACCACAGATCTCAGGGTCTCAAACTTTTATAAGTTTTGGTCCATTAACATATTGTCCAATTGCAACTTTAGCCCATGAAGTCCCATCCTTCTTGTTTTCTCTCTTCAGTCCACCACTGTTTATGCTCTTGGGCCTGAGATCTGGATCAGCTGTGCTTGGGTCCTCAGCTAAAGAAGCAATTGTTTTGGCTACCTACTCTGTGAAGAGAGCTTACTACCCCCTAATATGAAGCCTACACTTAAATAATAAAGCAGAGCAGAATCTGAAAAATATAAAAGCTAAAACCTGAGGCATCAGAGCAGCAACAAGATCCCTCCTACACAGAGTCATAACCCCTCTCTGCATCCTCCCCAGGGCCATACGCTGCCAGGCCAGGAGCCCAAAAAGTTAAGCAAGAGGGAGGCACAAAGTCCTGCCCCTGAGGACAGGCCTCTCCAGGCACCTGTATGTCCAGCTATCCAGCAGGACACCCAGCTTTGCAGACAAAGCCCTGGAGGTCGTGCCAGGTGCCACGCTGATCATAAGCCAGCAATGTGCCCTTGCCACTAATGGTGCTCTGGACTGCTTTAGGAGTTTTGCCAGCAGGACAAAGGAGCTGATCCTTTGTCTGGAGCACTGCATTCAGTTCTGAGCTCCCCAGTCCAAGACAGCTGCACGTGCTGGACAGAGTCCAGCAAAGTGCCATGAAGATCATCAGGCGACTGAAGCATCTCTCCTTGGAAGATAGGCTGAGCAAGCTGGGATGGTTCAGCCTGGAGAATAGAAGGTTTGGAGAGGATCTGATCAATGTGCAAAAAGGCCTGAACCTAAAAGGTCCTAAAAAGGATGCTGTAAAGAAGATGGAGCCAGGCTCTTTCCAGCAGTGTCCTGTGACAGGAGAAAGAATATTGAAGAGCAGATTGGGCATGATTCTGGTAAGTGGCTCCAGCTGTCTCTGCTGAGCCAGAAAACAAGATGACATCCAGAGATCCCTTCCAAGCTCAACCTTTGTGTGATTCTGTGAAAGAATCTATGCCAAGAATCTGGTCTAATAATTTCATTTTGGAGATATTAAATAGGAAAATAAGGAAGGTAGCACAGTTCTGCTTTACTTATGCTTGTTAGTCATCTGCAGGACACATGCTGGAATGTATGATACAAGTCCAGTTTCTGCTACTAGGTAAATGACTGAAATCTAGGACTGCTAGGAAAGACTCAAAGCCATTATGCTACAGAATAAATGCTTTCTTTCTCTTCTGCTGATTCTTTTTCTGTTGAAATTCTTCGGTCTTCTCAACCTTACTTTTTACTTCCCAATGTTGTCCTTGTTTTCAATGATAAAAACCACAACCTTTAAAATAATTTATTCACAAGTAACAAAACCACAAAACACAAGAAAGAAGCCAAATCTTCCCTCTGCTTGACCCTTCCTCCAAGCCAATTTCTTCATGTTCTTCTTCTCTAACAGATGAGTCATGTTTTCAGGCTATCTGCTCCATAGTAATCTTCTTCCCTTTACAGTGTCTTTAGACTTTTTTTCCAGTCAGGACGATAGTCCAATCTTTCCATAAAATGCCAGGGTACTGTATGACCAGCTCAAAATTATGTCCTCCAAATGGAGTAAACAAAATAAAATATGCATGTAGTATGCAAATTAAACAAAATCCATAACCTGAACTAATGCATTCTAATCTAATTAAATAATGCTAGCTATTATGGATTAAAAAAAAAAAAAAAAAAAGAGAGAGGGAGAAAAGTAATGGCCTATGGATTTTCTAATAACTGAATGCCATAATTATGCATCAGGAAATATTCATATATATATAAAAGATACGTCTAATAAAAAGTTTAAAATACACAAACAGGAATCGAGCCATCCACATGTATTCAACAACCTTTTAAAAAGCTGTCTAGCTTGTACTTTTGAGTTTCAAAAATTAGGAGGTTGGTCCACATGATTTAAACGGTCAGTCAACAGTGTGTATATTTTCATTAATGTAACCTTATCTACTTCCTCAAGCAAGTGCGCTGCCAGTACCACAAATATAGTGTCCTTTTTCAGCATTTACAATGTATAATAAGAATGTAAATAGATTTTTTGTATATTTGTATGACTAAACTTTAAAAATGTGTTAATCATAAAAGGCTTTTGTTCCTGTTGTACAGACTGCATGACAATGCTGACAATGGTACTGCCATGTTTGCTGTGTACTGTATATACTGTATTTAGGAGCATATGGAAACATCACTAAGTTGTTTCTATTGCACTGAAACAGTAATTTCAACAGATTAGTCCTTTCCCTTGGTACAACCCTATGTCTTGCTGCTTATCATCCTTTTAAGCATATAAACCAGCAGTGCATATTTGACTTCTTAATCTTTTAACAATTAACTCTCAATACAGACAGCAAATACACTTTGTTCCAAAATAGAGTGTCCTTTCACTCACATGTTCCAAGGCAGCTGCAAGGCAAGGAGCTGCAGATCTGGGGACTGTGACATGCAGGGGACAGAAAGGAGTCTTTCCCTGTGTGTCCAGGCCCGCAGTCACCTGCAACACACTCGAGGTGTGGAGCTTCAAGAGAACATCTGCTCTGACTAAACAAACGTTTTCGGACAACCCATGCAACCTTCATGCAAGGGACACACAGGGGCAGAAATTATCTGATTGCATACAGGACATTAATCAGCATACACAGGAAAAAAGGTTGGTAAGCAAATGCTTTCCTTTGTCATTCAGATACTGGAAAAAGAACTGGGTATAAAATTGGCTGAATATTGGCTTCTATTTAAAGATAATTTCTTATTTTCCATAAAACAATGTCCCGTGCATGCATCAGAAATCAATTCAGAGATATAATTTTGTTTGCTTGCATTAAAATTTTCTGAAGCTCTGCTTCAATCAGAGAAACATCTCTGTCTATTCATACTAATTGTGTGGTGATCTTCAAAACTCAGATTTTGCTGCCTATTGATTAGGTTGCTTTCAGCAAAGGTAGCATGTTGTTTCACTGAAACAAAGCTGATGGATTACTTGGAAGACAGAATTCTTATCATAATTCTTGGTAAACATTTGGGCTCTCTGTATTTAGATTCTTTCCCTGTTTGTCATTATTCATGTGGTTGCCAGAAAATAATGAAAAATAGTCCATTGTGTATTTTGATACTACTGACTACTTCCTTTTTAATTTTATTTCATTTTCTAAAAAGGTAGTTAAGAATACCTAATAAATACTTTAAAATATCAGTTCTCATTAAAAGGAGATGTTTTCAATCCTTGTGATTGCAGAGGAACAGCTGAAAAGAAAAAAATAAATGGACAAAGAAACCAGAGAGAGTAAGTAAACAAAACCCTGCTTTTGCCTGCTTTCTGACTCTATGGGACAAAAAAGCCATGACAAACCAAACCTAGTGAGTTTGGTGACCCATTTCAATTAATTAAATTGAAATTTTGTGCTTGCAAATTTCAAAGCAGAGGTTGTGTGACAATCGCTCAAAACACTAAGTCTTTTGAAATACTATTTCCATCTTGCAGAGCTCATACAAAAGAAAGCCTTGTAAGCAGATTTAAGGTCATCGTAGCATGAACTATGAGGGCAGTTACAGAAATTCTGTTTCTCAGGTATTTCAGAGACATCTCAGGTGGCCTAGAGAGCTAGGACATGAAGGCATAGAGGCCAACACACGGGGCTGTTCACATTCCCCTGGGGCTGGAGAACATCTCTGCATAGTTTTGCTGAACCTTTAAACCACTGAATGATTTTTGTGCTATTGCTCTCTCCAGTACATTCCTTGTCTCCCAGAGCTACCCTTCTTGTGCGAGCAAAGCTGCAGACATGTCGTAGCCTGTGTCTCAGGTGGCAGCTCTCTTGTCCTGCTTTCCTTTTCTCTAACAGAATACTGCCCCATCAGAACCAGGCAAAGAGAAAGGGAGTTCCAACTGAGAAGAGCTGGCAGTCAGTTTCCATTGGATTAATACTTCTTTGGCATAGAATGCTCTCAACAGATAAACAGATTAGGACTAAGGATTGGAAATAACCAGACTGCACATTAATTAAAATCAGGCTAAAGGAATTAATCGAGTTAAGATAATTGATCAAATGCTCTTTCCAAGACTTCAGAGTAAATTTACCAAAGACAACATGAGAAAATATCTTAGAGCATCCAAGGCTGGATGGAGCTCTGAGCAGCCTGGTCCAGTGTGAGGTGGTCCTTGGCAGGGAGGCTGAAATTAGGTCCCTTCCAACCCAAACCCTCTATGATTCTGTAATTCTTTATGGACTTATTGGACTAAGTTTATTTCTGACCATGCTGAAATAAAAATCTCAATACATGTGCAAAAAAATTCCACTTCATGGAAACTTGGTGAAAATAATGCAAACAAGAGAAAACACAATAAGATTTCATACTTTGACAGACAGCCTCTAAAAAACCCAAATGCACCAAACAACCAAACCATGCTGGAACCTGACAGTAACTTAGTAACCTGATATTGTGAGAAAGATACAAAAGGTTTGGTTAGAATGCAAGTTAAACATCCGTTTAATTCCTCCTTGGAAACAACTGGTTTGCATTTACAGTGTGTGAATTTTTTTTCAAAAGTGTTTTGAATTTGTCTAAATTTGAGAAAACATTTCCTTTTTCTGAGCAGCCCCTTCATTTGGAGTGTAATTTAACTTCCTGTGCATGTACTTTTGTGAATGCTTTGGAGAAACCTTTCAAGCAATAACCAAAAGCAAGCTTGGTTGTATTGCCAGAACACTGCAGTCAAAAGCAAGCATCAGGCTTTTCATTCCAGGCATACAGCAGGTGACAACAGTGTGACTCCTGCAGTGCAAGTGGCTGTAGGACTGTAATCTCTCTCAGAGAGATGCACGCTCTTTCACAATAGTCACTCTTTCCTAAAATTCATTCCTTTTCTATATGTTCTATATTTTTCCCTTTAATTTTCTTTATTTTCTGCTCCATAAACATTATTTTGAGCAAACAATTCTAAAACAAGGGCCTTTCCAATCACATTCAAGTGTGAAAAGAGTGAACCAAAACTAATCCTGACACAGCTTTGAGGACTAAAATTTTTTCCCTGTAGCCTGCTTATTTTTCCCTCTATTTTTATTTTGAGTTCTTACTTATACACCGTGATTATTTTGGTAATAGAAGTAATATAAGAATGCTAAAAGAAAGCTAGGGCTGAAACCTAGTCTAACATCATCATCCCTTTTACTTATTTTCTCTTAACATTATGTGTTTATTGGTTCAGTTTATGAAGTCTGCCAATTGGACTTTGCCTGGAGCTAAATTTACTGGTTGATTCATTTCAGTGAATCTTGCATACTTGCATGTGGCAAAGAAAGCTGAGCAAAGGTTTCCAAGTGGTAGACAAGCCATGGCACTCAGGAGGTCTTCTGTTTGTGCCCTTGGCCATTAAATAACAACATTCTGAGAAAGGCAGAAAGGCAGTAAAGGAGCCATGTGAGCTAAAACAGAGGGTCTTTTAATGTCACATCTATTGGAAGAATAAACTTGCAGCTACTTCAATTGTTTCTTAACATAGAAAGATGAGACATTTGGTCAGAGAGGTAACACAGTGTAATCAAGAAGATTTCAAGGTAACTAAAAATGTCTCTTTACAAATTGAAGACTTCAGAAATGGATGGGTTTAGAATTTTTGTTTAGAACATTAAAACATTGTACCTCACATGCTTTAACTTCTTTTGTATGTTTATGTGCAATTAATGCCATGGTGCTTTAATTTCTAAGCTGCTCTTTTACCAATACATTTCATATACTTTATGATACATACAAGATCCTGCTTTCTGCAAGAATTTCCCTGAATTTTACAAGTATATTCATTGAATATTGTTTAAAATGTAAACAAGCTTGAGGAATATAACAAAAGTACAGCTTGTCAGTAAGATAGTTCTAAACTACAGGGTGGAGGTCATCCCATTTAGAAAAGCTTCTCAGATTGCTGAAGTGTTCCTGAATCCTAGATTGTCACATAAGACATTTCAAATATTTGTAGTAATCATGGCTGAAACTTTAAAAAGGAGACTGGTCAATGCTATTTATATTATGTTCAAAGGATTTTGTATGATCTTCAAAATTTCTCCCCTATGACTGTTTGAAAATACGACAATTAATTTTTGCCTGAAATACCTTACGGAATTAATAATTGTTATGCTATAAATGTTGTTTTCCAAACATCAGTTTGTGTTTGCGCACAATTTTTTTTGAGACTGCAGGATGCTATTGTAAATAATGTAAACAATATAAATATTGCAAAGTTATTATTCACCATTTATTGCAAATGCCGGAAAATCCTATGGTGAAAACTGGATACTTCAGTAGATGAAGAAGCTTCAGAATATGGTGCCTGCAATTTGTGTATGTTCAGTCTGTTGATCAGACTGTTCAAACTTTTGGTCTCAAATGGTCTCAGATTCTCTCACACCAGAAAATACAACTTAGGCAGCAAAGAACAACATTTGGTACATCTTACAGGCATATGGTACATAACATACTTTCATGCTACACGTCTGATAGTCTATGTCTGGCATGTTTGTTTTCACCTTTTTTTTAGGATTTGCCATGGGACAGTAAAAAAATCTAGACATAGTTTTGATTGCAAGTTAAAAATCCTGCACAATCCTTTATTTACTCTTAACTCCCTTCTTCTCTTTTGTGGGTCTTTTTATTCTAGTAAATCCCAATAAGGTATTTCTAACAGTTCTCAAATTAACTGCTGGAATTGTAATTACCTTGTTAACGTTCATTCTATGTCATAAAATTCTGTGTAAATTATTAAAATGCATGTACTGTATATGTCTGAGATGACTAAATCTATTATTGCCCAGCTCCAAGCATGTTTTGCACGTGGATTTCAACAGTTGCTGGAGGAATATTGGTGCTGTGTGTCTCTCTGAAGATCTTTCTCCCCTATTTCTGGGCAGACCTGATCTATTTCTTGAGACGGAAGAGGTCAAAGGCAACAGTAAAAAAGTGGGCAAAAAATGGAATTCTCTCCATAACTGACCTTTTCAGGCAATCAGTGGAAAAAAACCCCCACAAGCCATTCCTTATCTATGAAGGGACGGTGTACACTTATCAGGATGTGGAGAGGAGGAGTAACAGGGTAGCACAGGCCTTCCTGCACTATGGGAATCTGAGAAAAGGCGACACTGTGGCCCTGCTGATGGGTAATGGACCTGACTTCATCCACGTGTGGTTCGGGCTAGCCAAGCTGGGCTTCGTCGTGGCCTTTCTCAACGTCAATATCCGCTCACGATCTCTCCTGCACTGCATTAATACATGCGCAGCAAAAGCTCTGGTCATAGGAGAAGGTAAGTTTTGTGAGGTGTTTCACTTACTGCTCACTTTCTGCTGTTTCCTGCTTTTATCAAACATAGGAAATCAGAGCCCTTCAGAGCTGCAAGCTCTTTATATATACACACACTTAAAAGAGGGGAAGAAAAGGAGGGGAAAAATTAAGGAAAGAGAGAGACTGTGTTGTCTAAAAAGGAGAGAAAAGAGACAATGTCTACATTTCAAGAATATAAATCCCATGCAATTAATTAGTAGAATTAAAAGCTTAAATCTGAAATTCTCCAAGGACAAGGCATCAGCAGCAATAATCATGCATCAGCAAGAAAACAGCCTTGGAAGATACTTTAGCATAATTTCATTTCCATTTTTATTTATTCATTTATGTGGCTTATATAAAACTTCACTTACTACAGGAAGACACAGATTCCCTTTGTAGTTGTGATTTCCTTCAGGTCAAAATACCTGCATAAAAATTTATGTTACTTTATAACTACTTTAAGTAGCAATCCCAAGGTAGCATTGCTTGAAGCAAAGATTACAGTGCAAGGAGCTGCAATTTCATCTCTGTTTATGGCACATTATGCAATACTAGGCAATTTATGCATATTCTACTCCTGTTTTTTCATCTTTTATACAGGTTGGCAGTAGTACCATAATTCCATATGAATCTGTGAGGGTTTGCTATTTGGTATATGCACCAAATTTTGGAACAAATGTGATTAAATTAAATCTTATATACTAGCACCATCAACTAAGTTAATGGTGTTTTATCAATTAAAATTAAAGCCACATGAGAAATATAGGGAAATTGAACATCATGATGATTTTTTCACTGTCCAGTATGCAGGTTAGCCCTCCTATGCCTGTGGTAGGTTTATACAGTGGTATGATATATCATTTCAATGCCAGTAATCAGGTCTGCAGTTGTATTTATTTTAAAAATTACCATGTGTTTTTTGTTTGTTTTAACTTGGCAGATTTTTTAGGATCAATAGAGAAAGAATTTGTTTTGAATGTCTTGGAAAATAATGTTGCTGTCTGGCTGATGAGCGCCAGCTCTCCTTTCCAGCATGTTCACACCCTACCAGACAAACTAGACAAGGTGCCTGATCATCCTGTTCCGTCTCATCTTGGAGCTGTCACTGACACAGCAAACACAGCTCTGCATATCTTCACATCGGGAAGTACAGGTGAGGATGTGTGCTAACAAAGTACAGCTGCACCTCTGAAAATTAAGGCAGTATAAATTAAGCAAAAAGACACAAAACCACAGAACTTGAATTTCCAAATCAAGACAGGGAGGATTGATTTATTTAGAAGCACAGTACACTTTAAAGTGTTTTTGAAATTACACAGGAGTGTAATTTCAGTTACTGAACTTCTACATAAATACTCCATGGCTGAAATTAATTTCTTGAATATAAAGCAAACAAAGTCAGTCTCTAAGAGTTGCTCAGAAAGGAAGAACAGTGGAACCTCTGCTTCTGATTTTGAAATAGGAGTTAATTTTAGAGCGGAAGAATGGGGAAATCCATCCACTAGTCAATCCAAACAACTTCATAGAAGTTAATTGTATTGCAAGTAGAAGCTGAGTGACACAGTGGCTCTCCAGAGGTTTTCCAATTCTCACTTTCTGGCAAGGGAAACCTGTATGTGTATTTGACCTGCACATGCCTGTGAAGGGCGTGGACTTTGTCCCACAAATGGAACAGACATGGCAGGGGGGTTGGGAATATATTTTACATTGTCCCTTTCAACCCTAACTACTCTATAATTCTATGTTTAAATAGAATTACAGGCAGAAAGAGTGAAGGAGCTGAGAGGCTAAGGATATATACTCATAAAACAGCAAAGCATAGGACAAAGACTCAGAAGAAGAGAATTCTCCCTGTACATTCCCAGCATAATTCTACTTCAGCAAAATTATTAATGCATGCAGTACATTTGTAGTTATTTGCTCTTTCCCTTTGACAGGTTTCCCAAAAGCTGCTATCATCACTCACCGCAGGACTCTGGCTGCCTCCTTGGCATTGACTCAGTGTGGTGCAGTTTCTCAGGATATTATATATGTCACTCTTCCCTTGTACCACATCAGTGCTTCTCTTCTTGGCATCAGTGGATGCATTCAGTTAGGTAATATTAACCTTCTAGTGGAGTTCCATTAACTTGACAAGGCTATAACACGTTAATATTAGGTGAATAACTGCTTGGGAACTCAAATATTGCGTTTACCAAAAATCTTTTGTAATTTTATCCTTTTCATCACCTCCCCCATTTGTGGACAATATCTAAGGTATATGCATAGTTTTTGAAGCTTAGAACAGACACTAATAATTGTATAAATCCAGCATAAAATGACTTGAGGTCTGTGTATGGTTAGCATCACTGCATATTTTCTGTAGGTTTAACCTGAAATCATCCTCCTACCCTATGCCAAAATTCTGTAAAGGCATTCACACAGGCATCTGTGGTTGATTTTTAGTGTCAGAAGATACAAATGCATTGTGGAAGCCCAACCTTCTGAATACGATTGACTAAATGTGTTGTGGAGCTTTTTCAGTCTCTTATTTGAGTAAGACCTACAGAGTTAGATTCATCATCTTAAAGTGAAAAATGTGAAAAAGGACAAAATCTCCCCTTCTAAATTTGATAATGGGAGTTATTTGTAGAGAGCTATCAACCAGACATTTGCCAGGTACATCCTCCTTTTCTATCATTAGAGTATTGCCCAGATGCTGGGTTTTGGCACTCTAAGTATATAACTGGAGTGCTTTAAAAGACATTTCACTGCTTTGTTTATTCAGGAACAAGGCAGGCGGGCATGCTGGCTCACAGTAACTGCTAGCAAGACTGCTTCTGCCTAACAGAAACACAAAGGGGATGGGAAAATGAGTGTATGAAGAGGTTTGAGGCTATGAATTTTCTTGGGACAGAAAATGTAGGGTAATGTCTTTCTTAGGTGTTTAGATAGAGATCTGGGAGTCTGGGATTTGAATGACAAAGCTTTGAGGAGGGTGAGGCTGAAGAGCTCTGAAAGGTTTCAAGATCAGGGACGAACAGGCAAGATGGGAAAAGTGGAATAGAAGGTATTCAAAATTTGGAAGGCCCTGGGAAACATCACACAGGACAAACACGACTTGGGCAAAAAGAAAATTTTGAAAAGATAGAAATTTGTAAATTTTTGACTGACAACACTTAGGAAGGGATAGGGTGGCAGATATGAGAGGGTAGAATGAAGTGGCTTTTGAAATTGAAAGCTCTAAAAGAACATCAGGGTCACAGAAAAGAAAATAGTTTTGATTCTCAGTTGTCAAGGAACAGAAAAAGGGGAATGAAAGGGAAACAACAAAGACAGCCTGTTTCCTTTTCACCACTTGTCACACAAATAGAGAAGCTACAATTTTCCCCATTCCAAGATCTTTTTTTGTAGTTAAACTAGCTCATGATCATGACAGAAACCAAATGTTTAGGCTATTCCTAACAATGAATGATCATTAAAAGTTTTGCTTCTGTTGCTTCTGTTACTCTAAGGTTTTAGTTACTACTCAGAAAAAGAAACAAGGCTTAGTTGTGCAAGTTTCATTTAACAGATGGATCGTGTTGGAAACAGCTTACAATTTATTCAATTAGCTGAATTTATCATTAACTGAATTAAGAGAATGACAAGTTTTTTCTTTCTTTCTTTTTTTTTTTTTTTTTTTTTTTTTTTTTTTTGTTACAATAGTGGTAGAAGACAAGGGGTTTATTTTAAAGGTTATTTTGAAATTTCTTACCTGTTTTCATCACATAGGAGCGACCTGTGTTTTGAAGAGGAAATTTTCTGCGAGAGAGTTTTGGAATGACTGTAGGAAATACAATGTTACCATGTTTTTATATATAGGAGAACTCTGCCGCTATCTCTGCAATCAGCCCTGTGTAAGTTCCATTGGCAAATGCAGCTTTAAGATACAGCAAATCTGAAAGTTAGATAGATTCACTAATTTCTGAACAGTACAGTATTTTCAATGTTTGATAGCTTTTCACAGCGTTCCTTGTGTCTTGCGTTCATTGCTGTTACCAATAGCAATCAAGTTCACAACAGCAAGTGCAGTGGTGACAAAGGAGCGAGCCTGGCAGGACAGGACACACACCCTGACACTCACAGAAGTGCCTCTGCAAAGCCAGGCTTGTTGGCTTTTTATCTGAGTGACCAGCAGGTCACAACAGGTCAGTCAGGAAAAGGTGTAAGCTGAGAAAGCTTCAGCATTCACAATGACCAAAAAGAGTTCATACCAGATTGAATGATTTAACAATTTCAGTGCTCTCTTCCAAAGTAATTGTTTATCAAGAGTGACCTAGTATATTCAGTATTTAATGAATGATAGTTAATTTTTAACTTTGAAACTAATGAACGAGTTTTTATTAGTTTAAGTCTTTTTCTTAGAGGTCTTCCAAAGGCACACTCTCTTACATGCCTGTATATCTGATGATGGATATATCTCTATGAAGCCAAAGTACAAACAGTATGGTGCAACCCCCCTGAGATAACAGTCCTAAAGATCATGACCAGGTTTGGAACAAAGTAAAATGTCCCCAAACAGTGACAAGTCTGAAAATGCTTACTAAGTAGCAACTCTCATTTCAATGATAGCTTGGTTAATTTTTGGGAAAGCTTGGTTAACTTTTTAAATTTTATGCTTGGTAGTTAGGATATTACTGAAGGGAGGTGACAAGAAGTATTCCTACATACCTCAGAAAACCTCATGCTCAAGCACAAAGTTCAAATGATCTCCAATGGGATTGGTCAGAGATTAATGCAAGCACTAGGAACAAGAAAATATCTGAAAGAATTCTCCAGCTGGTTTGAACAGAATCTTATTATTGGGTGGTCTGGATGTAGGAGAGGGATCAAAGACAAAAGTACTAAAGGGTACAAGAAGGATAGCTGTTGGCCAGAGCTCAAGCCTATACAAACAAGCCTGAAACATAACTCAAGCCTGGCCAACAGCAACTACTGTATCAGTAGTCCATGGATCAGGAAACCACAAAGGAATAATTAGCTAGGCCAGACCAGTTGTGTAAAGGTTTCTCCTGCAGGAAAGAGCAATGAGAACTATATTTTCATGACTCAATAACAAAAATTGAACAGAGAAGATATAGATACTTAACTGGCAACTGGTAAGAGGGAAAACTAGAGATGGCCTGGATGAGTTGAGGGAGGTGAGGTTGCTAACAGGAGTGGATCAGGTACATCAGGAGCTCTGTCAACATCACGTGTCTTACTAGATTATGGCCACATATAACATATAACCAGATATTATATGCATATATAACATCTAACCTCTACTGTATCACACAGGTTCAACTGTAATGAAAGAAACCCATGCAGGGTAATAGGTCTGGTATGGTTCAGGACTAGGACTGAACATGCAGGACTTGTTGGAGTATGCTCTACATCATGCACAGGGTGTCTGCCCTTCCCTCCTTTCACTGAGCATGCCCAGGTCTCACAAACTGAGAAATAGCATGGATTTGGAAACTAGGAGGCACTTGGGGATTTCTCCATGTGGACAGAAACTCTGTGACTGAGTATGTCAAAGAATGTTTTTAAAGAGAACCATGTAACTTTTAAGTAAAGGCATTTAAAATTCAAGGTAGTTCAGGGAAATGTTGCAGATCACACCTGTTGAACTGGGCGTGAACCAAGATAAGAATGTAAGAATAACAGTTTCTCCTGTTGCTTGTAATCTGTTAAACTCTTGAGTTTTACTTCAAGGCTTACAGTATCACAAAATACATTGGGGAAAAAATCAAAACCCGTCATTTCATCCTGAAGACAAAGTGTTGAAGAAGGGACAACATTATGCAAGAAGGAAGTCTCCCAGTCAGCCTCCCAGCTGGATTAAAATTCAGTTGGATTACATACATGTGACCAAAAACATTTATTCCTTTATTCCAGAGTTACCATTAAAATTGCAAAAGAAAACATGTCTGATTATGCAGAAGCAGGGAATATCAAACTCCAGTTTCACTGCTGTGTTTAACAGTGAGCTTGGGTCTTGGCATTACAGTTATCCTGTTGTGGCAAATAATTTATCTGCCATAAAATGCAGTTCTGGATCAAATGAAGTTGTCTGCTAATACATAGTTCACAAAACAATTTTACATGAATGTTTTTGAAAGTCAAAAGTTTGTGACTGCTAAAACATTTCAGTGCAATTACAAGGCAAAGTTCCATCTTTAAATCACCCTAACATTATTTAGAAATCAAACATAATTTTACACTTTTAAAGATTGAAATAACACTGCAACAAAACCAAACCAACCATTTATTTGATTTGAAGAAACCGATCCTGTTGACCTGAAATAAGTTTATTTTCTGCTGACATTTAGCCATAACAGTAACTTAATTACTCAATCCCAACTACACCTCAAAAAAGGGAGGGCTTCTGAGAGTCTTGACCACAGTCCTATGGACAGAGGGCTGAGCAGTCTGCTCCTATGCCAAAAGCACTTATGCAAGCAGACTTTTGAATAGTTTACCACAATAATTGCATCACTAATATGTAACTAATGACACATTAGCAACTACATTTTGACTGCAGATTTTATTATAATCTTTTGATTAATTTGGATTTAAGATTAAAAATGAACCTAATAATATGAGTTATTACAGCTTTGAGTTATTCTGCTGCTTTGTCAGGTTCCATAAGGAATATGGCAGATGTGAAAAATTTTCCACCAAGTATCATTACAAAAAGAATCAACTTTTGTGTATCACAAGTGTTTTCTAAGGCACGATTTTGTTGATACAGGAAAACTTCGCTTTTTGGTGGGAAAGGAACTTCCATTCTATGGAAAATGGCACTTCCTTAAAATCCATTTATTTGCAGCTAAAATCTTTTAAACTTTTTAATATACATCCTCCTTATAGAGTTCATAAGTAAAAATTCAAAGAATTACTGAAATAAAGTTTTCACCCTGCAAAAGCCCCTCAACCTCAGATCAAGATTGCTTATGCTTTTCTGTTTTATTTTTAAAAAATCAACAACAACAGCAAAAAACCCCATTCTGTGAAGTATTTTAGTCAAGGTGGCAGTTCGCAAATGAAAATTGTTCTGTTAGAAAGTATTAGGTCAATTTTAGGTATTTAGATGCACTTTTCCCAGCTACAGGATGTTTCTTTTTGTCTGTTCACAGAAAGAAGAGGACAGAGTTCATGAGGTGCGCATTGCCCTTGGAAATGGGATTAGACCTTCTGTATGGAAAGAGTTTCTGATGAGGTTTGGCCCAGTTAAAATATTTGAATTCTATGGGTCCACAGAAGGAAGTCTTAGTTTCCTGAACTATACTAATAAAATAGGAGCTGTGGGCCGTGCTGGCATCTTCTCAAAGGTAAGGATTATCAAATCAACCAACCAACCAACCAACCAACCAATTAACCATACAATAACTTTAAAAAAATTTAAAAGGCATGGGAAAGGCATAAATCATAAAGAACAGGAAGGAAGAAAATGCTTCCTTCTTTCCAGATACAATAATAATAATAATTGGTTCATGAAAACAGAAGCCTTATTCTTAGCCACTTCCTTGACTCTATTCTCTGTACATGTATTTTGAAGCCACAGTAAATACACACAATGAGTACATAGAAGCTCATGTACCCAACTTTTTCCCTAAAAGATATTTTAAAAACCCCAAACTGTCTGTATAGAAGCGACTACCCAAAGGACTGGTATGACAATTCTGGTAATGACAATTCTTATTAATTGTTTACTAATCATCCTGAAAATCCACATATAATAAATGATGAGGCCAGAAATTAGTTTTGATTTGACTTTTCGTATAAATCAGGAGATAGATATTCCAAAGCAAACTTATACAAATTTGTTCTTTGGCTGCATCTTCACTCATTAAAACTAGCATCACATTTTCTCTGAAATAAGATTACAATATAAAAAAAAATCAAAATTCTTAGCAAATAGAGGAGAAAAATACTAATTTCAAAATATCTAAGCTATACCTTTACAAATACAACCACTGTTTAAATTCTCAGTGTTTCTACCATAAAAACACCCTGACAGTCTCAAATGCTTTTCCAATTTGTACAGTTTCTGTGACTCATGAACATTATACAACAATGAAATGGTATTCAAACAATACTAAAGATTCAGATCAGTTAAGATCAAGACCAGATTAATGACTTCCCAATGATTCTGCTTTATATCTGAGATGCCAAAAATGCCCTGGCATGATGATGATAACAACTCTGCAAGATTTTGAATCTTCTAGCAATCTTAACCACGTGGATGGAGGATTGAGGCAGGAAAGACTAATCAGGTCATTAAGTTGAAAGTTTCCATTTGCATCTGTCTGGTGTAATTTTTGAGATGTCTGTAAATTTATTTTGGAATTTTTTTTTTGTCAGATAATCATCTTGATTTGCATTTAGGCAATATTAGAAATGGATGGCAGTTTTAAAGCAAAACTGACAATTTGATCAAATGCACTTTATCCTTCGTATAAATTATTTGAATCTGACCCTACTCTTAGACAAGGGCTTCTTTTTATCAGTAAAGGAGATGAACACTCACCTTTATATGTATACTTAGTGTTGCTTATCATGATATGAACACTTTCTGACAATTGCCTCTTAGAATACAGTCAGTTTATTTCAGGCTATCTCAAGTCTCCAATATTCAATAGGGACTATTCATTAATTCAAAGCAATTCTTATCCAATCTAGAAAATTAGTAAGAAAATGTAGTTTTAAGTATGCATGTGTGCTTTTTTTCTTTTTTTTTTAGTTTCTACATTCTTTTGAGTTGTTGAAATATGATGTCTGGAAACAAGAACTTATAAAAGATGAAAATGGAAGGTGTAAGAAAGCACCCATAGGTAAGGAAAAATATTAGTTATCTGTTAACTAATAGATAACTCAATTTAGAGGATGAAATTTCTGTAAGCAACAGATTTTTGACATACACCTAGAACTTGAAAATAGAAAAAATAGGAAAATAGATCCAAACAGAGATCTGTTGCTAATATATGCAATAATATATACAATATTATACAAATATTTATAAAATAACCCAAAATAAAAAATTACAATCATATAAGAACATTAGTAATATTTGGGGCCCATAATATTTTTATTCTCACTTGAGAAGAACTTGTTCCTGTTCCTGGAAAAATCAGATTTTTTAGTGCTTCTTTTTTTTTTAAATAAAAAACAAAAGATACAGCAATTCCCAGCTATGTTGTGCTCTGAGGCCAGATGTTTAAAGATGCTTTCTAAGTTTCAGATTTAAAATTCTGATGACGAACAGAAAAATTTCAAATTGTGGATCATATTTTTACGATTAGTGACAAAACCAGATTTATCATTTTAGTACCTAGAGTTGCACAGACTTCCCCAAATCCTACTTAAAAATACAACCACTATTTAAACTCTCTGTGTTTCTACCATAAAAAATGGAATACTCCACCTTAAAGAGCTGAAGCTCCCAGACTGAAAATAAGGTAGCCTCCTAGCTGAGAATATCCTTGAGAAAATCCCCAAAACTGAGTCTTACCAAAGACAGCACTGCATTTATCAAAGCCACATCAAATATTCATGTGCCTGTGTACACATGCACGAATCCATCTGTGTCAAAGTTATCAGCTGTGGGGAAAAGGTCTTTAACATCATTGGTTTTAGTATGTAGATTTAATTATCATAGAGATAAAAATCCTGAAGGTAGAAGAGGGGCTTGTACAGAAGACCTGAATGATAGCAGGTTATGATAATGTCAGATCTCAATGACACACAGTAGTACTGGTCATCAAATCAACAATTATTATTGCTTATATTTGATAATATAACATTTATAATATAATATCATATCATATTTTATTCTATGGTAGTAGTACTGGAAAAAAAAAGTAGCCATCTTCTATTTTTTCTGATAAAATATTATTTGCTGACAATATCCAAATAAAGAAAAAGATTTTCTTTTTCTTGAAAAGATCTTTCTTCCTCACTACAGTCATATTAGAAAGTGCACAAAAATTATTGCATTCTCAGTGAAATTGATAAAATTCCAGGTTTCATGACACAACTAGAAAAATTTTGCAAATTACACATGTTTTTTAGGCAACTCTGAAGCTGTCACTGAATGCAATGTGAGATAGTAATGACAGTAAATTCACAAAATGGACTGGAGAATCCTTCTGTAAAAGTGACTTGGGGTTAGAGCAACTCCGTTTTGTTTGGTTGTTCTTTTGTTATAAATTATGCATTGCATTTGCAGCAATGCCAGCTCCTCTTCTGAAAGGTAGTATGAGCTTTCATTCCATTTTTCATATGGAGTGTTCAAAAAAATGAAGAGGATTAAATTTAGGATGCAGAAATACAGCTATGAAGAAAATTATTTGTTGGAAAACGTCTCCTTACATCTTCGGAAGGAGTAAAATAAAAGTTTTTTGAAGACAGAACTATCTTTAAATCTCAGGAGCACATTGAGAACAAAGCCAGTAGTTATCACAGATAAAGAATAATAAAAGAAACATGTTTAAAGCGCATTCTGAATTAATTCCAGTGCAGGCAATGGAAGTTTTGTCCTTGTTATAAATAGGACTTAGGCAGCAACAAGGAGTGATGCCCAGTAGGGATTTGCTTCAGACCCCAGAGACCCCCTGATGATCAGGGGCACACATTGTGGATTACAACTTGTTTTGTCACACCAGCACACCAGTGCTAAGGCAGTAGCATCTCTATCCTCTGGAAAACCTCAAAGCCCTCAAAAATCTTAGATACTATATATTTTGCCTCTACACATGTTGTTTGACTACCATCACCCTTTTCTAACGACATAAAGATAAAGGATACACAAAGATAAATCATCTTTTCAATGGGTAAATGCTTTCACCAGGTAAGTGATGTACAACACACTCCAAAGATCTCTTCCCTGTGGTCCAAATTTTTGGAAGAGAAGGAAGCAAAATTATGTTCCCTTTTCCACTCCCCCATTTCTTCTGTTCAGGGAAGAACTAAGGTAATGTAACAATAAGACACATAAAACCGACGTGGCTTTCCAAAGGATTTTTAATATGATAATTTATGCTCTTAATAGCTCACTCTATATATGTTCATATATATGTCTCTCTCTCTCGATATATATATATATATATATATATAGATGTCTATATATGTTTCCCCTTTTCATGGCCTGCAGGTAAACCTGGTCTTCTGGTTTTTCAAGTTACTGAGGATAGCCCATTTTCTGGATATGTTGGAAATAAAGAAGCCTCAGAGAAGAAACTCCTGCGTAATGTGTTTGTGGAAGGAGATGTGTATCTCGACACAGGGGACCTCCTAGTGATGGATGAGGATGGGTTCCTCTACTTCACTGACCGGGTGGGAGACACTTTCAGGTACAGCACAAAGTTAAGAGTAAATCCATGGAAGAAATCACACATATACATGCCTGGATGACACAGGTCAGACTCAAACATGATGAATGTCAACTTTGTTTAAACAAAATCGCTAAGGATAGGAATCAAGTCCACTAAAGTGCACTCCAACATATTGGAATTTTTCAAATTTGGCACTTCTTGTATCACTGGGTATTCAAATATGATGGCACTAAACCAGGAAATGATTCTTCAGTTAAGAATGTAGCCCATGTTAAAAGCAGTCCTCTGTCATGTATAGAATAAAACATGTATTAGCTAATATCTATATTAATATAAGAAATATTTTCAACAGGTGGAAAGGAGAAAATGTTGCTACTTTAGAAGTTGCAGACGTCATTGGTATGATGGATTTTGTCCAAGAAGTTAACGTTTATGGTGTAAGCGTAAAAAGTAAGACATTTCCTATAGTTTGAGAACATAAAATGAAGAGAGTAATTTCTTACTGTAACTTTTATGTTCTTGCAACTGCATGCACAAGTACACGTAAGGATATAAGACGTTTCAGCGTGGCAATTCAGGCTTTTCTACAGTTTTTGAAATTTCAGTTACAGTAAAATGCTGCATTTAATAAACATGACATGTTGAAATTTTGTAATGAATGGAAGAAAAATTTGGATAAATTAAAAATTTTAACAGAAGTGAGAAATACGAAGCTAGACATATAAAGTTATGAACTACGCAAGACTTCTCTTAGGCTACAGGCTTTCATCTGAAAAATGGTAAGATACAGTATATTAAAAGATAACGTCTGAAACCACTATCTTATGAGTACTGTCGAAGAACACATAATTTTTTTTTGTAATTGGAATGTTCTCAATCATATATGATGCTTCATAAAAATATAAAATATCATGCTGAAAAGCTGTAGGAAACCAAATTACAAAATTTAAAAAATTCTCAGAAGATGAAGCCATTGAAGAAACAGGTTGAGGAAGACAGACATTTTGTGGTGCTGAGTAACTGTTCATTATTTCCTTTGGAGGCAAATAAAGTCTAGTATTAAAAGAAACTAGTCACATGAAGAAGAAGCTGTCAAGAGATAGCACTCAGAGATGGGAAACACAATGGGTTCAAGGAAAGAGGATACATAAAAATAAAATTAAAAGGCCATCATCTGAATGGTTGATCAGCAGGTGGCAGTCATGCAGTGCATGCAAATAAAACTGTGGTCTAATATTCAAAGCATCTCTCATTATCATCTGCAGTTGGAGCTGATGGGGCTCCTCGAAAGGGTTATTGCTACCTCAGGCAGTAAATAGCACATAAAAAAATGCCTCAAGATTCACATCAGTTTTTGCTTGCAGTGTCAATAACATCTAGACAGCATGGTCTTTCATATTTCTGTATTGACTTGAGTCTCAAATATTGCCATAACAAACTTCACAGCATATCACCAGTTCAGTAACAGCAGATTCGTTTTCAGGAAAAGGAATACCCATATTTTTTCTTTCCAGTGCCTTCAGGCAGACCTCAAGGCTGCTTATTTTTTCTGAACAGATTTAACTGTGGCAGTTGATTTCTTCCAACTCAGATATTTTCTCCTCTTAATTTTTTTTTCTTGTGTTTCAATAAATAGAATGCAGGAACTATGTCTGGTACATAATTTTGAAAAGGGTTTTGTTTCAGTTTGCATGTCAAACATAATTTGATGCCTGTAATTTACTAGGAATCACTTACTTTTTTTGTCACAAATTTGTCTGTGGGACAGAGTACAAAGCACTCAGCACTGCCTTTACAGTGTACAATAGGCATTTAACTTCATATAGAACAAGTACAGTCTTATACATGTTTATATCTATTAGTCTTTGTGTGGGGGTATTTAGGTTCTCTTTTTAATTAATGCTCCCTCTGATTTAATTAGTCATTATATTACCAGCTTTCAGGTAGGAATAAAGCCTAGCAGGCAGTTCCAGCTACAGAGAATTCCCAATAAGAAGACATCAGTGACATTTTTTAATTGAATAATCTCACTGAAAGTAACTTTTAAAGTTCTCAAATACCATGTATAAATAAAATAAGTAAAGTAATAAAATATCATAAACCTAATTAATAAAATATCATATACTTTATACTCAGCGATGTCTGAGAAAACAAGATGCATATGTCACAAAATCCATTTACTTGTTCTAAATATTATTGAATATCCTCAAATGTTACAAAACATTCATATATGCTCTTACTTGTCATACTATTTTTCAATTTTTTTTAGATTATGAAGGAAGAACAGGGATGGCAGCTATCGTGCTTAAACGTTACCATGACTTTAATGGAGAAAGACTTTATAAGCATGTTGAGGCCTTCCTTCCAAGTTATGCCCAACCACGCTTTGTGAGAATCATGGTAAGACAATAAGGTGTCTGCCACTTGTATTTATCTTCTGTCTGACTTGAAAATTGGTCACTTCAACCATGGAATGCAGAATGCATTTTACAAACAGTTTAAATAATTGAAAACAAAAGGAAATAGTACCCTAAATTACTGTTCCTATGATTGTTATTATGATGAATTTTAGCAAATATATGATGAATTATGTTTCTGTTTTGTGTTATGGATCCATCCATACCTAAGAATCCTAGATGGGACTAGTAACTTTGCTGTTAGATTTTACTTCAAAGTTCTTTAACCAGTGTCTTCTTCTAGTCAACAGAAGACTAAGCAAACATATGTGTAGCCTTACTCATAAGAGTTCTTCTTATAACAGGGTGACATGATCCATTTCAAACCTTTTCCTGATGTGGCTGTCCTTGAAGTGATTATTATCCACTATTACTGACAAGGCACCAAAGAACTACTGGGTTATTTACAACAGATAATAAAACTTTTATGGAGATTTCCTAATGTGAGAATTAAAATGCATTCACATGTTTCAAAGAACAAAAGCAGAACTGGATACAATCCTTTTTTTAACATCCACCTTAAAATACAAGGATTGTACCCCTTGTGAGCACCCCACAGGCTGATCTGTCACCAAGCAGGAGAGCATGAACTGCAGAGGGTAGGAAAAGGCTCCACATTGCATCATCTCAAAGTTTGTAGCTCACTGTTTTCTGCTGCTAGGGCATGCTGAGAGGCAGTTTTACTTTTCCCTAAATACTGATAAATAGTCAAAAAGGTTTAAATTGAAGAATTTATAGATTGAGAAAGCCTTTTTTTTTTCCACTAACAGATTACTGTACTAAGTAAATGTACCTTCACATGCAGTAAGCATAGGTTATATTATCTGTGGGCCTTCAGGACATATCTGGTTTCTTCTGGCAAAAGCTTTTGGAACAGATCTGTCTTTAGAGTTCCACTAGATTGAGCAAACCTATACAGTGCTCTAAGGTTTATATGTGTGGAAACAACCTGTTTGCATTTATTTGTTCTCTGACTAAATCTTTTTTTAGGTATCTGCGGAGGAGCCAAAGTAAACAAAGTTTCTAGCAGTACTAATTAACTGATATTTACATGTGTGCAAATTTTTATTAAAGGAAATAACTTCAATTTAAAAAAATCAAAATGAGAAAACGTTGTTGCTTTATGAAATGTGTTAGGGGAGTATAGCAGCATACTTCAGTATATGCTGAACTCACAATTTTCTGTTTGGAAGAAAATTTATTCCCTTTTCTAGGTCCTGAGAAAGAGGTCACGCTAATCAACAGTGATAAATACTTGAAATTCTCATGCAATATTGGATTAAAACCAAAATCATTCTTGAAAAATTTTCAGTAGTCCTTATGTAGGCTTTTTCTAATATAACTTGCAATTATGGTTGACTGGTTTTGTGCAAATCAGACAGACTGATTTTCTGTTCTCAGTATCTTCCACTTGATTCTAAAAGAATAGCAGAGGCACGGGGACAAGGATGCAAGAAACCAGGGGACTCCAGGGCTCTGTTATGTTTTCCACCTGAGTTTTTTTAACTTCTTCCAACAAGAACTAAAAAGTGGATCTTTTCAGCATGGGAACTAAAACGAAATGTTCACTGTATTGAAAACACGTATAAGTAATAACAATGCTTGAGAACAGTCTGTTTTAAACTTTTCTCTACATGTAAACAACATTTGAAAGGTGAATTATTTATATACCACTTCTGCTCAAATACCCCAACCATTGTGTGCAGAACAACTTGTTCGTGAATTGGCATTTTAATAATTGCTGTATAGAAATTCCTTATGCAGGCAAATAAGACAAGAGGGCATTTAACATTGTCGGGTTTAATGTTTTAAATCAAGTTTAGCAGTAGGAAATCAGAAGAGAGCCAATACCACAAAATCAGTCAGCTCTTTGCAGAGTGAACCAATTGTTCCATACTCCACTGATTTTGTGGTGGACTGCCCTAAGGAAAGTTAAAAGAAAATTGCATATATTGAAACAGAAACTTGCTATCTTGTGTGTTGCTTTAGCAGGAAAATTAATAAGAAAAAGATATTAATTTAGATTTAGATTTAGACTTAGATTTCACTGCACTTGTGAATCTGATAATTGTTTAACTGAAGAAATTGTATAGTAAATTGTAAGTTCTATTTTATTCAGTAAGTACATCATAATTTCACTCATATAGACTGAAATGGAATATTGCACCTTATTTGAATTATTTCTTTCATAGGATGTTATGCAAACTACTGCAACTTTCAAGCATCAGAAAACACATCTGGCAAATGAAGGATTTAATCCAGAAATTATATCTGAACCCCTGTATTTCATGTATGAACCTGCACATTCTTATATTCCTTTGACAAGAGAGAAATACCAGAAGGTGGTTTCTGGTGAAATACGTCTATAACGCATAGAAATAAAATTACTCTATAATACAGAAAATTTCAGATATATTCCTGAAACCATTTCAGGAGGAGTCACGATGCAGTATTTGTTTTAAAAACACAAGGTATTCAAATCAATCTTATGGTATTAAAATTGGTCGCTTCCAAAGATACACATACAATATTTATGTGCATTGTGTAGGCTGCACTGCATCTGCTCATATAATTTCCTCACACATGGGCTTACATATGCAAATTTTTATTTCACATTTCTCACTGATTCAAATTATTTTTGTCTGAGCCACCATTATCTTAACCTAGCTGAATATTTTACACACATACATTTTATTCTGACTCTGCTTTTAAAATTAATAAATAATTAGATCAATAATGTCCTAGGCATAAATAAAGTGAGCCACCAGAAACATAAGCAAAATACTGCACAAGCACTGTATGTAGACCTGAGTTCAATGTTTGACAATTATACAATGTAATATTTAATTGTAGTATTTTTTGTGATGCTCTACTTCAGACTTTTATGGAAATAAACATTCAGTGATGAAATATATTTGTAGTATTTAGTGTACATTATTTTCCACAATTTACACCAGAACACAGATTATTTGCAAAAATTCACACTCGATGGTACATTATCTCTTTTTTAACTTACCAGTTGTCATATTCCTGAAGCTGAATTCTCATGAAAATGGGACAAAATTTACTATAGCTTCTAGGTTTTACTGGAAGTGAACATCTAGAAACTCTTAAAAGGAGCTAGAAAGTTTCAAAGGCAGAATCAAATCAGAGAATATAACATTAGCATACCTGCTGGATGTAGTTTCCTTGAGTATACCTATCTGGTTTCATTTAAAAATCAAACAAGTCTTTACTTACATGAGGGAAAACCTCCCTCCTGTACAATTCCCTGAACTCGTGTGACCTTTTGCCCGGATTAATAAAATATCTGTACAATAAAGCTAATGCTCATCCCAGTTAGAGCCTTACAGACTTGCATGATTTCCCCAAGCATAAGACTTATTTTTTTTCAGTTTTCAGTATGTGCTAGTACTACCATGCCAACTTCGCTGCCTCTGCCATAACGCAGTGATGCATGGCAACTGACCCAAACACCTTTGGTGCCTTGTAGAGCACAGGACACCAGCAGCCCCACACCACAGGAGCCCATCACCTAAAGTAAGGAACAATTTAACTAACAAAGGAACTCTGTTATGATCACAGAGGTCCAAACCCCTTGGTGACACCATGTGTCTCTCAAGATCCTCTGCCATTCCACATCACAGAAGCGTGTGTGACAGAAGCAGATGCGGCTTGAGGTATGGAAGGCAGTAGGTGTGGGCAGAACAGGACAGATGGCATCCAGCACACCAGACACACCTAGGGCACACCAACATCTCCTATGAGACACAGGAGCTTGGAGTGAGAGAAGCAGAATTGTAAATAAAAATATTTACTTTTAAGAATTGTCCATTTGTGGACTAGGAAGAGCACTGAACATAATACAGGTTTGAGGAAGGCCCGAGGAATTTCAACGGTTTGAATCCATTATGGGACTCTATAGCACCCCAAAAAATCTCCTTTCACTAAGACAGTAAACTTCTGATGTCCTACCCAGTTTCTGGGAATCCTATTATCAAGAAAGGAAGGGATTGGTCATTCATGACTGTTGAATATAGTAGTTTCTCCAACTACTTTTACTTTGGTCTTCTAACACATGAAACAATAGTGCTCACCTAGAACTCTTCTTACAAGCTGACACAATATTTCCAAAATGCCAATAATTTTCAAAACATGACAGAATATTGAGACAGCTGTGAATTGGCTATAAATAAAATACTTGTATTTTTCCTACTATCTAAAGGTATATATAACTATGCCTACATGTAACACTTAAACAGGTAGAACATTAAATTTTATGAAGATAAAATATAACTGCTATATAACTGCTGCTACCAATACACTTGATTAAGTTTGTAACATTTACAAAGCCCCAAAAGCCTCAGAAAAAAGTGTCATTTTCTCCCTTTATTTGTATTAAGAAGATGTCCTACAAACTACTGTCTTACTGCCACTTATTTTTGTTTTCTCCTTCACCCTTTTACTCTCTACACTTAATTACTTCCCAATACTCATTCTTCAGAAAAGGTTAAAATAGAGCACAAGACAATGATCACATTTACGAGGATCTAAGCAGGAGATGGTTGAGGAATGTGTCTCTTACACCACAAAATTACTGTGGTTTCAAGATCCATACGAAATGTCCCATGCATGTGCAGAGAAGGATGACTACCTATTAACTCTTAGGCATCTAAATCCTTTTCTTCCTCACCTCTTGTTATCAGTTATTTTTTGAGCTTTCAAAAGTAGTTTCCTCTCATTTTCACAGACCAGAAAAAAAGGATATGAGAAGAAAACTAAGAAAGTGAACAACTACTTTTGCTACAGAATGTTAAAAAAGTAACATTTTAGAATATAACCCAGTTATACCAGTTAATAAAGTGGTCTTCCATATAGAAGACACAATTGGAGAAATCAATGTGAGGGAAGAAAAAGAGCAGCAACATGAAATGAAATATGGCTTTAATGCTGATCATGTACTTACAAGGGTCTCCAAGTTTACAACTCAATCCTATGAGCAGCTATTCCTCTCTGGAAGGGCAAACTTTTTTAATGTTAAAGTCCTAGATCAAATGTTCCACAAAGCAGAATGCAGATTTTGCCTGCCAGGCTCCTATATTACTCTATTTTGAGCCAAGACACAGAAGTAAGTTTTCATATTTGACAGCTACTAAAAAATGAATTGGGATATTATTCTCCACATACTATAATAAGTATAATGTTATATATTTACTATATACTGTATAATACTAAACTTAAATTATCAGCTGACACTTCAAAATTTATGATTTTTCAAAAGAAACACAAACAATCAACAATCTCTTACATCCAAAATGTGTTATTTAAGACAAGTTCTTTCTTTTCCCTCAAAAATTTGAAGTATCTCACTTCTCTGGTGCTTATGCTACTAAAAAAGCATTGTAGTTCACTAAGGTATATTAGTCAGGTTCAGAGTTAATGCAAATATATATATATATATATATATGTACTATTGTAATATCTGGATATTAAAAGGATTAATGTCTCAAACCCCCTCAAAATGAGTTGGTTTTTTTTTTACATTAACAAAGCATTTCAGTATTTGGTGTATGTTTCTTTGCTACAGTGAGATTCTATAAGGAAATTTTTCAGTTTTATTCAATCATATTTTTTAAAAAAAACTTCACTCTGAATTTCACCAAAGGAAAATTAAACTCCTTTATATTTCCTTATCGAGTCATACCATGCCCCAGGGAACCAAATTGTTTTGAAGGGAAATTGAGCACAATAATTACAGCACAATAAATAATTAATGACACTGTGGTAAGAGTTTATGAGTTCTACATATGTCAAGAATAAAATAGATTTCGGGTAATGGCATCTAACAAGAAGCCAAATAACAGATGCATTTCTTGCTATACTTTGGGGTTTTATTACTTAAAAACAAATATCACTACATTTAAAATATAAGAGGTTTTAGAGACTTTTAGAGATAGTCTTTACTACCTCTTTATAAAGGTTTCTTCACAATATGAATTTTCCACTTGGAAGTAAGTGTTATGTTAGCAGTTTCGATCTCATAATAGCACACAATTTTCCCCAGACTTTTTGTCTTATTCGGTGTGGCACGTGGTAACCTGAACTTGCTCAACAGTTCAGTAGCCTGTGTGGCACTTACTGACCCATGCATGCAGTTATTTTTATCTTCACTGATGATAGCAATTACTTTACATTAATTGAAATAATTAATTTCTTTGTAAGCCTTTCAAATCCCATGATACTTACGTTAAAAATATAAATAAATATGCTTATATCTGCATTGGATAAAAGCCCTGAAAGTATAGAGAACAAAAGTACTGAAGGCAAATTTACCCTATCTGGTATCTACAGGGGCTAAACCAGCCACCTAAACTGTGGTATTTTAGTACCCTTGGGATGCATGATGCTTTTAAGTACCACTGCACACTTCTGTTTCATTTATTTTAGTATGAGCACTTCATAAAAAAAACGAGATGGAAGACTTTGGTAAGAATGTCATAGAGTGGATACTTCTAAATGCTGGTTATGGGACATAAGCGTAGAATTGCCCTTTAGCTTCCTGAAAATTTCAGCCTTGAAATATTTTGAAAGAGATCTATATATAGACAAAAATAAAACTGTAAGTATAAACACTGAATTTATTTTAAAACATACTTTTTAGAGAAATTAATACTATTAAATACTGGAAATTATCAGTAAGGCAAAATGAACACATAGTCTTCATACCTGAGTGAATAGCGTCCCAGAAAGAAATAGTATTACATCAGAAGGGACAAATCTAGGAAATTACTACTTTCTCACATTTAAAAATAAGCTATAAGACTTCTACTATGAAACATTTTACACTGCCATTACATTACTTTTTAATTATTAATTTATAATTTGCTAAATTACAAGGCATATTACACTTCAGGCAGCTAAATAACATCACCAATCAATCACTCTTACTTATTTCCTAACAAAATAATACTGAATTTTAAGACTTTGATGTTTACTTCCAATAAGGTAGTTGAAGTCATAAAATACACATCTATGTGAGATTCACATTGGAGGATTTTAAAGAATGCTTAGATGTACAGGTTATTGGACATCACTAAAACTATTTGAATGAGCCTCAAAAACCGTAAGTATTTCTATTGTTTCTACTACATGAAAATCAGACACACAAGGAAACATCAGCTAAAATTGTCACTGGGCACTTGAAAGTATGACAGGACATGTGCATGCAGTTGCATCCAGAAGGACTTATTTTGGTTTTTCTTGGTCCACCTAATTTCAAGCGTACTTTGTCCCATTAATGTTGGTCACTAGTTGTGGAGATGTTCCTCATGAAGCAGAAATCTTCTTCTTCCTCTTTTGGATTTGAATGGATGCTATGTGTGAATCATCTACTGAAGGTAAATGGGCCTCTCTAAAAGTTAATAAGTTTCCTTCTCACTACAACTTGGAGAAAGACAAAGCATACTACAAATTCTTGTGCTGGGGCACAGAAGTGATTCTGCCTCTTTCCTATTCCAGTATGTTTATAGGTCAAACTCAACTGTACTTCTACAGTTTTGAACAAAAACTAAACCTTCTGATTTCAAACTTAATGACAAAAAGGAAGAGTTTATTGTATGTGGCGTTGTTGGGTTTCTATTCTATAAACTCAAATCACAGAACAGTATCACATAATACCTTAGAAACTAGGCAGAATTAACTAGAAGAGTTTTCATTTTCTTGTTCCACTCTTTGTTATCTTAATTGTATTCTTTTTAATGCAGGTGGCCAGAATGAGTGAGTGAGTGAGTGAGTGAGTGAGTGAGTGAGTGAGTGAGAAGGAATTTGGGCTGTAGCTTCTTATACTATTTTTGGCTAACAGTGAACTTTCAGAAAACTTTCCAGGTTGACTTCCATTTTTCTGACTTACAGTAAGGCAACCAAGATTATTTTAGCGGAACAACTGATGAACTGTATTAATCCTTCTGGTTTACTCCTGCAATAGTCAGGAAGTATTTTCTGATCTTTATTGTTGCTTTGCACACTCAGTCATTCACTCATGTCATGTATCTAATTCTGAATTCTATCACTGTTCTGTTGTGCAGAGTCTAAAAAAGAGCAGATGTTCCTTGTTGATAGGGGAACCAACATTCATTTTTAAAACAGACAGATAAAACCCATAAAGCAGCAGTAGACATTTGAAGCACTTTTATGAGCAAATGAATAACCTTGTGATACTAGCAGAAAAGGTAAAAAAATCTCATAGAATCCGGCTCTGCAGAAGATACCAAATGTGCAGTCTTAGCTTGAAAAAAAAATTGCTGTAAGCACATGAAAGCATAAATGTTTACTCAAAACATGGAAATATGGCCGTGCTATTCTTTGTCTCCATGTGACTCTTCTGAGTTTTGTCTCAAAAGTGCCTGCAGGTGGAATACCTCCAGCTGTAATCTGGACAAATCACTTTAGCCACTTGGAACCAGCTTTCACTTAGGAGGCTTCAAAGAAAACTGTTGCTGCAGAAAGAGGTGATGATTTCCTTTGCTATTAATCTATTTTTAGCTTGTGCTGTGGTAGAATATCAGGGTATGACAGACCAGCATAATTTTTTTCTAGAATGAAATTGGAGTATTCCTGTGAGATATGTTCCTGCACAGAGAAAAAACCCCCAAACAACAACACAAACAATTCCAAAATTTACAATATAAATATCTATGATCAGAATGTGATATATTCTAGCAGAGTCCAGAAAAAAAATCATAGCTGAGAAAACAGTACTGATTGAAGGCATGTTTTAACAGATAGAAGATTAGCACAGGAAGTATGGGCAGATCTGGGGACAGTGAACTTAATTTTTCCAGTTCAGAATTGCATTAAATTAGACCAGAGGTTTTGTGTGCTTTCATGGAGGTACCTGAAAAAAATAAAGAAGGTCTAAATAATGACATCAGACCAAGCCACCTACACCTCATCAGTAATGAGATTTCTGTGACCATTTGGAAGGGTATTACTGTCTTCCCATTAACAAATTCTGTAGCAATTTCCAAGTTTGGTACCAAAGACTTCCAAGAACTATGAAGAGTTTTAGTGCTGGAATAGACTGAATGGGCAGAGCACAACAGTAGCTTTTTAAATTAATTAAGCCTTAGCTCAAGAAATGGCACAGCATGATCAGTTTCTTGGTTTCCAGAAATAGAGGAGATGAGCTGGATGTATGACAAAGTAGTCATAAAGTAGATTAAGTTGCAAGAATCAATGTGACATTAAGGCAGAGCCTGGCCTGAACAGGACTTTTAAAGAGAAGGTCTTTAAGTTTAGGTGAAAGAAAACCATATAGAAATGCCCAAAGAAGCAAACGGCAACCAACAAGAAAGTACTCAGATTGGTAAAAACAGCTCAATAGGTCTGACACAGTACATTTTTGTCTTTAAAAATCCATTAAAGCATAACAATAATCAAATGGAGGGTTCATCTGGAATAAATGCTCCATTTATAGAATATGGTTAGCTTCTGATCCATGATTCCATAAAAATTTCAGATTCACACATCATTAACATGTTTCGCTTAAAACCACAAGAGCTACAGACTGAAGTTTTTAAACAGAGACTTACAGGATCCTCAAGTAAAGCATGGTAGTAGACATTAGAGCAGAAAAAAGTACAACGGTTCAACAACAAGACATGAGTAAGCGTTTTTCTTTACATAAGACTTTTTTTTTATGCAAGGATCAGGTGCAGGAGGTGCAGAAGAGATGAAGTCTCCAAACTGGCAGTCTGTCCATGAAGGCAAGAAACTCTGTTATTAATTAATTAGTTCTCCCACAGCACTTTTGCAATAACCCGTCATACTTTCCTGAGTAACATTTTAACTGAGAAGTTAAAGATCTTTATATGACTAAACCCAGGCAGTTGCAGTTTTCATTTAGCAGTGGTTCAAAGGCCAAGGATAAACATTTTACCTTATTATGACTCATTTTCTTTGAAACTTTGTGAGGCTGTTTTGGGGGAACCTCTAGTTATATTACTAGAAGTAATAACCTGCACAGGTTTCAGCAGAAAAATCTTCTGTATCGCAACTGCTCATTCTATGAAGTTTTAGACATTAAAAAAAAAAAAATGTTTTTAAATAAAGTGTAATTCCACTCCTTTTGTTGGCAAGAGAAGTGTACAAATTGAGGCATTAAAAAATTTATATCTGATTGTAACATTAAAGACTGTCACTTATGAAGCATATTAAGACCACCTGCTTGTGTACATTCCCCTCTGCAGGTGGCTGGCAACTATTACAGAAAATAACAAAAGTTGCTAAAGGAGCAAATATTAAAGGCAGGAGGCAGGGGGCCTGAACTTCACCTTTAAAAAAATCTATATTTTCACTTGCAAGGTTTTAGATGCTCTTGAAATTGTATTCTTCAGCAGTAGTAAATCTATTCTCAATATAACAAGATAAGAAGCCTATGTTATTGCTATTTATTTTTTTAATATTACAACCATTACCCTAAAAGAGCCAAAGCTGATTTTAAATGTAATTCAGCTATGCTTTTGGTTTAGTTCTTCATACTCACAGCCAGGGTTAAATTTTTAAAACTGCACAGAAATTAAACAAAATACAAGCCAGGGTAAAGTAGATGAATGCAAAGAAGAAAAATGAGAACTACTATAAATTACACAGATTTTAAAAATCTCTGACAACAGAACAGAGGACATCCAACTGCAGGTAGGCACCAGAAAGAGAGGGGTCTTTACTTCAGCTGAGGTTTTGGAGTAAAGTGAAACACATTCCTTAAAACTATATGGCTGTCCAATATACCTTCAACTACTCAACACTTTTTCAGAGCATGCCAAATGACCAGCGTCTAAAAGGGGAAAAAAACTTGAGAATTTACACAGCAGTGGGGATAGAAGAATGGAAAATGTGAGTACTGCTCAACTCAACAAAATTAAGATCAAACATGTAGCTTTCTTAGACTATTCCTTACATTCTTAGAGGCGACACCAAGTAGGACACTCTGTAAGGATTTGTTCAATAACAGTAATGAAAAAATATGAAGCTAGAAAATAGTCTCTCAAAGTCTGGAGACAGTGTTAGTTTCTGCATCTCACAATGATGAGGTCATCAGCAATCTGCTTTGAGTGTTATGTGTATAAGCAATCTAAAAATGTTTGTGTGCTAGCACAGCTAGGTACATGTAGAGGCTTGAGAGTGAGTTGGACTACACTCTGCCCCAAGGGACATTGTGACAGACTGGGCTGCTGTTCATTTTAATCTGCTCTGTAGAAAATGGATCTTCAGCAAGAAAAAAAAAGGGCAAATATAGAGAGTATGTCAGGGAGAGAAAGAAGTTATCTAAACTTTTAGGACCTTGCCAGTGCAGGAAGCCTTGCAAGACATCCACATCCTTGCACTGAAAACAGCTAAGGAAAGCAGAAGAAAATTATCATTCTGCCCAAGAAGGATGAAACTTACAGGAAAATGGAAAAGGCATTTTAAAAAGTCTTTGTTCTTCACTTTGCTAGTGGATTAACTAGTGGTACTACTAATCCATAACAAAATATTTAACTAATACATAGATACAGCAAAGAGGCTACTAGAAGCTTCCTTCTTAGAAATCATGGAGCACTGGGGTCTCTGCAGCCCCCAGTAGCTGGAGATAAGGCACACCTCTCCATCTGCAATTGGCTTAAGTTCAGAGGGCAGAATGAGTTAGTGGGACAGACCACATTGAATAGTACTGGCTTTTCCTTTTTCCTAGGGTAGTCTGGGATAATTTTGCTAACACCTTGACTATAAAGATTCACTAATCTGGTATTTGCACTATTATCTCTGAAAAGGGTGACCTTGAAATTGGTCAAGATACTGTGCTTCTGTAGCCATTATTTTTCCTCCCCTGACTGGCTGCTGTGCTCAGCTGAAAAGGATTTCAACTCTTCAGAAAGGAGAAATAGAAAAAGAAAGCATAATAGAGTGGGGATGAGGTGCTGGACTCTCACGTGCTGGACACTTGCCCTAACTGCAGCCCTTTCTAACAATCCTGATTTCTACCTCAGAAAAATTTGCCAGCAATTCTTCAATCAGACATGCTCACCAATATCCAGGTAAACATGCTGCACCTGGACCCAGTGACTCAGATGACTGTTTCCAACCTGAAGGACTTGAAGTGCTGCTTTTCCTTCCTGCCCCACTACACCCTCCTGCTTAAGCTAGTATCCTTTGGTTCATCTTGCTCCTTCTGCATTGAGGTGACTCCACTGTAGGGTGACTCCAAAGAGGCACAGTCCGGCTCCTGGATGCTCTTGTTGCTCACAGAAACTGACTTCAAGTTTTGAATGTCCCAATCCACTCTTCTTTTGCCTCTGACATCACCGTGAGAGGCAGACACTTTGTTTGCTTGCCCAAAAAGCTCCCCCCTGCACCACAATTAGCTGTGGCTGCCAGGAGAAACTGGAGCTGACAAGAGCAAATTGGAAAGCTGGGCAATCAGCTCAGAGGAGAGAATAGCCCTGTGAATGTAATTGGTTAAGGCTATGAACTGTTTTTCACACTAAATGTCTGCGTCAATTTATTTCCTTAAACAAAGTTCAAAAGTCAATGAAGCACATCAAATAGAAGTATTAAATGTTTAGTGTAGCTTATAGACCAAGAGTTATATCCCTCCTAAATTCCTTTGCCATTCTCACTCTTCCTTTCAGACCCTCAATTAAGCAGCATGGGCTGTGACAGCTGACATTTAGCTGGTGTCAGCACTTCAGCTTGGGTTTTGTGTCCCACATTTGCCCTGACAGCCTACATCTTTCTTCTGTTATGTGCATTATATGAAGAACTCTGCCAGGACTCTGTAAATTCTCTGGGATCCCTCTTTAGGGCAGATGATAGAATGATAACAGGGAAAAAGAAAAAAGGTAAAAATCCATCATAGTCCTTGCAGCTCATGAAGAGCTGTTTCACAAATTTCAAACACGAACAAAATCTGCTTTGTAGGTACACAGAGTTTCAAGGCAAGGCTCAGCATTCAATTTTTTTAAATACAGACCTTCTGCTAGAGATCTCATGTGGTTCTTTTTGAAAACAAACAAAAGTGCTCAGTGTGTATTTAAAAGGAAGTTAGATGACTTTTTGTGTTGTGACATTGTCTTTTTTTCTAGGAAAGAGAGTATTGGGGTGTGTACCTTGTGCATACAGATAAAGTTTACTGGGTGCAATGTGCAACTCAGGCTGTTTTGCAGATGAATACAAAGTCCAAGAGACACAAAGATAAGAGGTGACCATTTGGAGGCATTTTCTCCGGTGATTTGTACACTGAACTTTTAGCTATTGAACACAATGTGAACAATGGAGAATTTCCTGTAAGGATAGGTTGTCATTTGATATTTCTCTTGTGTCCAGCTAACATGCCACTCTACAGTGAAGAAGGCTGCTGCCCACCCTGCTACGGTGACTTCAAACTGGCAGACAGCACAGGTTGCTTTCACTGTAGCAAAAATCACAAGGTATGACCTTGCTGAAGAGCAGTACTGGCATTTAAGGGCTTTATGGCTGGCTTTGCTGACATTTAAAAATGAAAAGCAGAAAAAAGTCAAACTGTGAGGCTGAGCTGAAGGCACACAACATAATGCCTCTGCACTATCACCAGAATAGGCCAGGCTTACTTAAAGCTGATTTGTCACATGTCGCCTTTTCTCCTATGTTTTTTAAACTTCTGTGCTTTTTATAAAACAGCTGACTAGAAAGTACCTATTTCAATGAATAGCAATCTGCATCATCATGCCAAAATTACCTCATTGGCTTTGAAACAGCTACAGCATCTTGCACACAGATTTGTGGAGTGAAAAAAATGTGATTAAACCAAACGGATACAACTGGGAAAAGCAGGCTCAGGCCACACAACCACTCTTCATTTTTCTCTAAAGTTAAAAACGTTTTGTGTTTCTAGCCTAAGGTTAAAAGTGAGCTGTATTTGTGTCCCTGTCAGCTTCTCTGCTTCTGACTATTCTTAACCTAATAAAAAAAAAATATAGCTGCTCTACCAACCCCCTTTTCTTTAGCCTTATACCAACACAGCTATGAGAATACAACTGCAGTATTGGAAGGGTAGGACAGTATCTCCAAAACATCAAAAATGACACCCTAACCTACTCTACCAGGTCATTTAAAACAAAGACTCCTCCTACTCAACTTCACATAATTTCAGTTTTTAAAACTGCTGTTGCCAGATGAGTGTGTACTATAATACATTCTACCACCAGACAGGAAAATCCAAACCACTTACTTTCCTACCAGCTGATTTGGCTTTCCTTTTACTTGGAACCACGGATCTGGAGAATAAAGCAAAGCCACAGCTGTTAATAAGAGGCTGCAAATCAATCTGTTTCCTTCTCACATAAGCAACTACTATAAGAACATGAAGTGATTTGGACTGGAAATGAAGATATAACATATATGGGATAGGACAGCAACAGTCCAATATATATTTCAAAATGGACTTCTGGGGGGACAGAAGATGTGTGTGAATAGGAGGAAAATCAGTGTTTTAGAGAAATTCTTACTACTGCATGGATTTTCTATGCTGACTTTCTTACAGAATTACTGCGTTCCCCAGCGCTGATGGTTTTCATCATAATCTTGTAGTATGTTTCCCAATGGAACTGCATTTATGACGTGACTTCTTCGACCAAGTACCTCCACAGTATTCCTCATTCTACACATCAACCCCTAATTAATCTAATTCCAGTAGTTTAAATAGTGTTTAATCACAAATAGAGAGTTTGAATTTATTGCAAAGTAAAACACAATCCAGAAGTGCACTGGCAAAAGGACTACTTCTGTCTTCTTTAGGATCTTCTTGAGCTACAGAGAACTGAAAAAAAACAGAGAGCATTTACAACAGAAATTTTCCACCTGTCTTTTAAAGTGGTTCAGCACTTTCAAACTATGCCAAAGGGAATAAATAACACTCAGCAGGTAATCTACCTTAAAGGGACAAAACAAAGCAATTTTTTTAGCATTGCTGGATACATAATAATACACAAGAGGATGCTCTTTATAGCCCCTTGCTATGAAGAACAGAGTCTTCACACAGAAGTGTATGGAAGTGCTATTATTTGTTGTCACTATGGTCCGACGGCCAAGAGATAGACTAAGCCTTAAAATTGTTCCTTCACTTTTTTGACAATAAACAGTTCTAGAGCTGTTAATCATTTAAGACTTATCTTTACAAATTAATTCATTTTGAGAAGGACTAATTCTTAAGCCATAATTCTTGAGTGGATTTTTTTTGTTAGATACTCCTAAAGACCTCATGATCACCCTGTAACTGACATTATTCTGTGGATTTCATCATTGCCCCTTCAGTAACAAAGAGGAATACAAAATCACGTGAAGATTTAGAAGTTCAAAATAAGGCAGTCACCCCCATAAAGCTCTGCCTAAAATGGAAACAACTAACATTGCTAGGAGTGGCAAAGGAAAGGAAATCCAAGACAAGAAGGTTACAGTTCCTTTAGTAATAGTACAGTGCAACAACATCAACCAAAATACAGCTACTTGTACATAATACAAAAATAAAGTTTATACTGTGCTAGGAATTATGTATTTTGAGCTTAAAGAGTGATGTATAACATTTTCTCTTAAATAATATGGTCAGGTACACTCAGCCAAATGGATGCACTAACACACTCTCTTTGAAGACAAACACATAAAGAGCAGTTTCTTAGTTCAGTGTATCCATATATCATACGTCAGCTAGGATTTGAGAGCAAGCTAAGTCTTTCAAGTTTTCCCTTTGCTACTGTTCTTTATCCATAGCACAACAGTTCTACAATCAAATGGTGAGTTGAATTTTTGACAGTGGCGTTTATTAGCAGATACAGAAAAGTATTATTCAGAACAGCCTAAGGCACCGTAGTTTCCACAACAGACCAAAGACATCACTGGCAAAAATCAATTTTAAAGGCAGCTATGAGTGCTCAGCTACAGTACCATGATGAACAACAATCTAATGTTGACAACATTCTCTGGTGACTGGTGTGGCTTCTGTTTATTCTCTATAAGGAGTAGTAAAATATATTATTTTAATGTTGCTACAAATCTGAAGAATGCATAAACTCTTAGCAAAAAAATCTTCTCCTTTTATCTCTCCTTTTTAAAATTCCAATCACCAATCTTGCAAGACAATTCTTTTACAGACTTTTTAGAAATAGTTTCCAACACATTATATAGTAAAAAGCCCACTAAATTATTTCTCTTCTCCTTTAAAAGAAAGTATATTGTCCCATGTCCCTGTCTCCCAAATGTATTGTATCTGCCTCTGCTATCAACACCACTGGTGAACAATTCATTTAAGCAAAATCAAGTTTTCTCCTGAAGTCCTAAAGAGCAAATATGAACCCTTGATTTCCTCAGGACCTCTTCCCTAATAATAGCCCATGATACTGGCTAGAATTTAAAGCAGTATGAAGTGAAACTATCATCTTGACAGCACCACCTGCCACAAAGACCGAATCAGCTACCTTGCTAAAACTCTTCTAAATTCTAGAGTGAAAAGTAGGATTAGAACAGGACAAGGAGTAAATTAATCAAATTTCACTATAGAAATTGTGCGTTCCATATTGAACATTGTAGCTCAGACAGAGAATCACAGCTGATATTTAAAGTACTTTGAATTTCAGAATATGTCCCAGACACATCAGAAGGTGATTCAAAAACTTATGATTGTGACAGTCACTATAGCTAATCTGCTTCCATTCACCAAGGGATAGAAAAATTTATCAGAGGAAAAGAAGACTAGGTATTGAATCGCACATTACATACTTTTTTCAAACTGTTTTTCAAATTACTATCAACTCTCATCACACTCCTTCCACTAATCCATCACAGAATAGTTAGGGTTGTAAGAGACCTTCAGAGATCATCTAGTCCAACCCCCACTTGTATCCCCATATTTCAGAGAAGGACTGTCTGCAGCTACTTATAAAAAATAATCAATAATCTTTATAGTGTTGATACATTATCTAATAAATCTCCAAAGGTTTTCATTTGAGTATTTATCTACTTGGTCTGCCAAAACCTTGGCTCTTACCTGCACTTAGTGCAGAGTGTTGATGAGATTTTTCTGTGCCTTACAATAATGACAACCTTGAAGTCAGACATTTTATTGCCAGTGCAGTAAATAACCTCAAGATTTTCCTATGAAAAATATCAGCAGCACATAAAATGCAAATACGAGTCTCACTACCTATTTTCCTTTAAGATGCAATAAGCAGCAGTCTTGTTATATTGTTTCTGCATCTTTTACGCCTGAACCTTAAAGTTTATCAGCTTTCACACTTTTACTCATATTTTGAAATTATGTGAATCACCTCTTCAGAATTAAACTACACAATCATGTGTTATCATATATTCAGTCAAGTGTGAAGAAATATAATTCAGATTCTAGCAACACAATGAGCAACAGCGATTTCTTCCATCTCAAATTAACTTAAAATAAATAATTTCAATTAAAGTAACAGCTTCAACCATAACAGCTGTGTAGCATATAAAAAATCAAGAACTATATGCAATTAATCTTACTATTGTTACCTATCTAAGCACTGGAATTTTCTGAGTCAATCAATACCAACATTTTCTAAGCTAAAACTCAGATCTAAGAATGACGCAGAAAATGGGACATTATGGAACATTAGGTTAAGAACAGGCATTCTTCATTAAATGAGCTAACCACACCTCATGATTACAATTAACTTTGGTCATGTTCTAAATGTGCTCAGATCTCTAAAGGCCTGGTAACATTAGGATACATCATACATTGTTTATCTACAACCAGTGGTACAGCCCTCTAGCTCTTTTGTATGACTGGGCTAATGCTGACTCAACCAAAGAAAACAGAAGTCATCTTGTATGGTTGGTTCTGATCTCAGTCACCTAACAGACATATGACACAAAAGTATCTATGAGAGCAGTGCAAATACAAAAGCTCCATGACAGGGAAGAAAATAAAAAAAAAGAAAGAAAGAAAGAAATATAAAAAAAAGAAAAAAAAAAGAAAAAAGGCTGTATGGCTTTTCTCAGCGATTGTTTACTATTTTGCCTTCTGGCAGATGAAAAAAGTTATCTTCTTTGAGTTTAAGATGTTCTGGTAGATCTAGCTGTCTTTTTGCTTCTTCAATATCTTCCTGAATTGCCAAAATGAGCGCATCTGAAAAGGTAAGAATAGGAATATTTAAAAGTTGTTTTGTATTCTGAACACAATAACAAGTGAAAATAAGGCATCACAAAATATCAAACAACAATCACAGAAGTAGAATGTAACTATGAGGTTTGAAAGGCAGAATTCTCTACTTTTAAAATGTTTTTTTTTTTACCATGCTAAAGTTTCATTTTTACCTGTTACCACCACTATCCTCTTCATTTGTCAAAAGACATATTAGCAGCTCTGTTTCAATACTAACAAAACTGCATTTTAAGAATAAATTAGAACACTTGACTTTCATGACAAGCCCATGACTTTAACATTACTCCCTAGACAAGGGAAATAAAAGTGCAGGTTTTTAGTGTGATACATAAGAAGATGTGGGGATATGTCTTTTTTGGTTTTAAATTACGAAAACATTTCACTGACATTTTAAAGGTTAACCAATAAAACATCTCAGAGTGGAAGGAGGTACAGTGAAGACACAGAACTTGCATGAGTAAGGCAAAAAATAAACGAGTCTGAGGGAGACCTTCAATACTGACCTAAGGAATCAAAGTTTTTTTCGGGTCGAATGTATCCAGTTATGACTATACTAAGAATTTCTCCATAAAAGTCTTCTTTGAAGGTGTGGATAATGTGTGTTTCCTAAAGGAAGAGAAGTAGGTGGACAATTACAATGAACTTAAAGAGTTTATTTCTCTCTCTGTAAGCATGTAGGCCTAATATCCAACATTCAAATTCTGTTTAACAGATAAAAAATAAAAGGACATTTAGTATAGCATGTATAATCCAAAATAAAAAGGCCAGGGCTTTAGTTTGTATTAGGAAGCAGAACTGCATTCTGCATAGAATTAAAAAAAAAAAAAACTTCCTTAAAGAGTAAAAAGTGTTTAAAGAGAAAAGGAATGAAAAAAAAAAAAAACCAACAAAACCGAAACATCAAAACCCCCCCTAACCAAACAAAAAGACCCAACAAACTAATTTAAAAAAACCCAAACCCCACACCCCTAGACATCAGGAGCAGCGCTTCAAAACTTCTCAGAGTTAAGATTTCTAAGGTAGGAAACGTTAGTGTTTCATCAACAAGTGGATACATTAAAATAACTATGAAGATTTTGATGGAAGTAGCTGCCTCAAGGAGAGCTTCTACACCTATCCCCTAAGGGAACTGAATGATAAAATTGAAGAGCAAGTCCAGACTAAGACACAGACCTGACACTCAAAACCTTTTTATGCATATCCAAAACAAGCCAACCCATAGCATCTACCAGCAGAGCCATTATTTGGGAAGCTTTTAACTACTTGCTCAGAAAAGTTATCAGCAAAGAAATTTTTAAGTATAGACTTTCCAAAGACAAACACTTAGAAGTAGAAATTTGTGAACAAATAAAATTGTTTTCAGCAAATAAAAGAGAGCTTGCAAGACTCAGGAAAAGCACCAGCACTTGTCAACAAAAAACCCCACAGCTGTTACAGCTCAGGATTTTAACTTCTCCATCCTTACACCTTTATATGCCTTCAGGTATTTATTGGGTACATTAAGCCGCAGCATCTTACGTATCCATTTCATAATTTAAGAGAAGAATTAATTAAAAATTCATTACAAATTAAGCTGCCCCAACATCTCCTATATGAAATGCAGATACATGACAGAGAACAATAGATTATTACTATGTCCCAGCTTATGCCAGGGTCTCATAACCAGTAAATTCAATGTGTTTACCAAGTTCATGCTTAATTTGCTATCAGCAAGTCAAACAACCATCATTTCAAGTACTATTATATTTTAATTTTGTAAGTAGTTAAGAAATGGTGGAATGGAAGAAAGAAAAACTTTACTCAACTTCCTCTGCATACTCTCTGGTTACAGAGAGTATATTCTTTTCAGAATATTATTAAATAGATAACAAATGTATTTCCAATGGTACACAAATTTCTAGATACCATTCATCAATCAAATTCTGTGTATCTTGTTAAAATTAATCCAGTCTTTTATTACAATAAAAATCCCACAAAAAGCAAAATTCTTACCACTGATTTCTTAATATTCTTATAGAAGGGATTCCATCCTATGCTCACAACCATTTTATGCACATCTCCATTTCCAACACAGGCCCATCCATAGTATATACCAGTAGGGATATCAGATGGAAAGCTTTCAACTACTTGCTCAGAAAAGTTAGCTGCAAAAATTTTATAAAGTGTAAGTGCCTTTGGGTAAATCAAGTATATAACAGGATCTTCAAGTACTTAAAAGCCAAACTCTGCCTACACACTATTTACAAACATAACACTGGTGATGATTAGAATAATGAGACAGACCATCAGCAAAGTATAAAACAGCTTCATAAAATTTAGTTACTGTGGCAACACCAGAGTTATTATAACTCCTACACACACACACCCACACACACTGTATTGTATAGTTTTCTTTCTCTTCTGCAGTAGTAATTAATAAAAACATCATACATACAGCCAGAACACATTTCATTCTTAGGACAATTACCACAGCTTTACCACAAGGAAAAACGAGAGGGAAAAAGTCAACTTTCTTCTGCACTATAAAACAGCATCTCAGAACTACTTATTAGTAAAATATTTACTGATGAAATAAACTATGTAGAAGCAAATGTAATCATTGTTTAGTCATCTGTCAGTTTTGCACAAGTTCCCTTTCAGAGGCATCTGTGGACTTGAGATTTCTTTGAAAACTATGTATTCACAGTAAAATAAAATTTCCTTTTGGCTAATTTGAATCTTCTGTCAAAATTACTATCCTACCCCTATTTCCAAGCTGAATAGATCTCTTAATGCAAGATACCAAACTGATTTGAAAGAATGAATGGTTACCAAATTTTTATAAAAGCTCACAGATAGGTACAGCTTTCCTTCCCTGTTCCCTAATACCAACACATCGCTTATAAACAACCAGGAGAAAAATGTGAAATGTTCTCAGAAAC